AAATCATCCAACAAAAATCATAAAACCCAACCTGAACTTCAGTAATTTTTAATTACTGAATTCCGTAGAAACAAGGTTAAACCAAAGGCAAAAAAAATTCGCAAAACTTCGACATTAGATTGTTCTTAAACAGCACTCGGGTTTACAGCATACTAACTGCACCTCAGTGTTAAGCTGAAAGAACATGTATTAAAAGCAATTAAGTAGTCCCTGAACACCCGTACAAGATTACCACAAAACAAGACATAATTCCATCTGCAAATATTTCTTTCCGCTATCTCAAAAGATTTTAACTTAGAACGCCATTTCCATGTACTTGTAGATTTGTAGTTGACAATGTGCATAAATTAATACGCTCATTACCTTAATTGAGTCATACACAGAAAAGTCTCATGCATTTCACAAAACATTTAGCTTAATCACACAGTTATGTGTCAGCAGAAAGAGTCTTCCTGTGGTCCCTTCATAGCTGGCTCTATGAACAGCTAAAAAAAAAACTCTCCACAATTATAATAAGCAGTAATTCTAATGAGATGATAAATAGAAGATTAAATATTTTTCATAATCTTTCCTTCTAATAGGAGCCAACCTTGTAGTTAGTCAACTGAAGTCAATTTAAGATATCTGTAAGATTGTTAACCAACCTAACAAGTCAGGAACATAATGGATGGATATTCCGTCACTTCTCAAGAGCATAATATAATTAACTCCACAATGAAAGGAGAGGAGAGGAGACAAGACAAGGGCCCATCTCTAAGATAAATAATTAAAAATAAATTAATAAAAGGATGAGATGGAAGAGGTGAAAGAAGAGTCTAAGGTCCTATCCATAATGATGAAGCCACAAGCATATCATAATAGGAATCAAGACAATGACAGCAGGTAATCAATAGAAGCAATTGGCTTCACTTTCCCGGATCTACCATATTAGCCAGCTTGTAAACTTGCTGAAATTTCCCAGCCATTATTGTATGAGAATTTTCAAAAAACATCAAAATCACACTTTAATCCTCGCAGAGAGTACCTTTGACAGCTTCAAACAGAAGAAAGAATAGCTCAACGGTCCGAAATTTCCGCCAATCACTGTCACTTCCTCAATTAATATATGCTGATACATCCAAGAAACCAAAAAAGATCCAATGATATCAAACTTCCATCATTTTTCATACAGCATCTGATACAGTATGAAATCCAAGAACGAGAAACCAGACCATGGAAACAACCCAAGCATCCAACTAGAAATTATCCGCAATGCAGATGGAGGCAGCGGCAACCCCTCCAAAGATGGTCAGGCTTCCACCTTGTTCGAACCCCAAAGGCAACAGAGCTATCTGACCCCCAGTAGTAGCAATGGCAGAAGCCGTGACAACAGCAAGAATGCCAATATCCCTGCACCTGAAAAGAAGTTGACCCTCTTTGCTCTCCGCCTCGCAATCCTGGAAAAATCTGCCAGTGGCCTCGGAACTCTTGCCTTTATTTGGGCAACTGTTGTACTTCTTGGTGGATTCGCTTCAGCCCTTGAGAGCCAGGATTTCTGGATTGTAACTGTGATCCTCCTTATAGAAGGCACAAGGATCTTCAGCCGTAGCCATGAGATCGAGTGGCAGCACCAGTCAACCTCATGGTCCCTTGCCAGCGCGGGACGGTACAGTTTTCGAGCATTCATATCAAGTTCTCGGTTCTTTGGCCGTGCCATCAAGGCCTTGTTCCATTCATTTTCTGTATTCCAATCAGACAACCACCGTACTCGTGAAGTCACAGATGATCTGCAGATGGGAACTCCAGAATCCCAGAACTGTGACATTCAAAACACAAATCAAAGGACATGGAACTATTCTGATGTTCCCTTTCTACCCTATGTTGGCTGGGTCTTTCTCTCTAGAAATGTTAGCAATATCTTTTATTGGCTCCAACTCATTTCAGCTGCAGCATCTGCTGCTCTCTCCTTGATGAGGCTCAGTCAGCAAGAAGTCCACAAGGTCGCTTGCCAGCGGCAGACGGTACAGTTTTCGAGCATTCATATCAAGTTCTCGGTTCTTTGGCCGTGCCATCAAGGCCTTGTTCCATTCATTTTCTGTATTCCAATCAGACAACCACCGTACTCGTGAAGTCACAGATGATCTGCAGATGGGAACTCCAGAATCCCAGAACTGTGACATTCAAAACACAAATCAAAGGACATGGAACTATTCTGATGTTCCCTTTCTACCCTATGTTGGCTGGGTCTTTCTCTCTAGAAATGTTAGCAATATCTTTTATTGGCTCCAACTCATTTCAGCTGCAGCATCTGCTGCTCTCTCCTTGATGAGGCTCAGTCAGCAAGACTACAGAAAAAATAGTGGAGATACCGATACAAAGAACCTGAAGCCCGCTCTCAATATATTTTATGGGATGGCTCTGGCTGAGGCCCTGATGTTCTTAGTGGAGAGGGCTTACTGGAACTGGGAGATCGGTTACAAGATGCTTCTGGATAAAGTTTGCCAGAAGTGTGCACTTGGACCATCTGGATTGATATCAATCACGCGGTTCTTCTATGATTCATACTCGAGGTGTATTGAAGGCAGCATCTTTGATGGTCTTAGGATGGATTTGGTATCCTTTTCTCAGGAACTCCTAGATTCAGGGTACCGAGATGAGCAACTTATTGGAGCTCGGATCCTTCATAAGTTTGTGGCCAATGATCAATTTTCCAGTTACACCCTGCGAAAGATTGGGACATCTACAGGGGTCATAGAGAGGTTAATTGAAATTTTGAACTGGAAGAACCCAGTGGAAGAGGAGATCAGAAGGTCAGCAGCAGAGATTGTCTCAAAACTTGCAGGGAAAAAGCAGAATGCTATCCGAGTTGCTGAGATCCCAGGTGCAATTGAGTCAATATCATCCCTTCTGTACACAGGTCTACACTATGATTCAAGGCCACACGAGATTGGTCACAGGTTTGTTGTCGCGGACCAAACTGACTACGAGTTTTCGGTGTTCAACCTCTTGGGCTTGAAGATACTTAAGAAGCTCGCTCGTGACCATGACAACTGCTGGAAGATTGGGAATGCTAGAGGACTCATGCCAAAGATCATAGACTTCACGAGCACGACCGAAAACCTGCTGAGGAATGACCTAGCACCAGAATCTCAGATAAAGATAGTGAAACGGTCACTAAAATTAGTTAAGATCCTGGTGAGCACAACCGGCCAAACAGGGAAAATGTTAAGGAAGGAAATATCCGATATTGTGTTCACGGTGAGCAATATTAGAGAAATCTTGCAATATGGAGAGAGCCATATGGTGCTTCAAATGCTGGGAATCGAAATATTGAGCAACTTGGCGATGGATGAGGACGCGAGGGAGATCATTGGGAGCACAGGAGGAGTGATTAGACTGCTACTTTCAATTTTCTTCATGCCACGTTTGACAGAGAAACAGAACTCTGTGTGCACAGAAGCCGGAGAGGCATTGACTATGCTGGCTTTTGAAAGCAAGAGAAACTGCAATCAGATAGTAATGGGGCCGCAGGTCATGGAAAGGTTGGTTGATTCACTGAATGATCTGGTGCTCCAAGTCAATTCGGCCAGAATCCTCAGGAATTTGTGCGCTTATTCCGGGCCTGAATGTGTGAGTCACTTGACAGGAGTCACAGCTGCTTTTCCTACTGTAAGTCTTTTTTTAAGCTCAATTCTGTTTCTCCTGTAGATATATTTGGTTCCTTCTTTCTTGCACTGATTAGACCAAGTAACAATGCTCGTATTGAGGAAGTCAGAAGATATAATAATAACCATGTACCCAATGATACTCGAACATAATAATCTAATTTCAGGACAAAACAAGCTAGATTAAAACAATACTGAAAAGGGTGTGTTGCTTCATCGTGTTTCGGTTAATGGAAAGACGGGAGTCCGGATCAAAAACAGAATGAGTACAGTAAGTCCATCTGGATCTCAGTTTCTAGAGTGAATCAAAGGATGGATAGGAAACAAATACAGTAACAGGACTCCATTGATCTAGCTGTTTCTGAGCTATAAAAAAATAATAATAATAAAAAGAAGGTATTAGGAACAGCCAGGAGATCATTTATGCATTAGTCAAACATACATCATCTACCTCCCATGAGGATGTTGACCTGCAACTTATAAGTACCTATGATTATTCATTTCATTCAGGCTGCATTTCATCATGGTATACATTACCAAACTGTCAGGTTGACACAGGAATCAAATGCGAAGTAGAATAATAAAAAAATATTATTAATAGCTATCTGGTTATACTCTGGAATCACTGGGGAGATGACCATGCTACAAGAAGATGTGAAATTCCCAAAACAACAAAAATCACACAAGTCTTTCACAGTGCTTCAAAGTTCAATCAGTAAATGCCCACTCAGTATTTCAGAAGGATTTATTTCAGCAGAGTCAATATCCAACGCATCATCATAACTTTCTTTCTTGTGATTTAGTAAAAAGATGATTCAAACATAGCACATTAAATGTCACTGACCACTTGATGTTGTATCTATGTCACCTGTGTTTATGCATTCAGACCACGAGTAACATTTCTCACATAAAGTTCTAGTTCATATGCAATACATAGATATCAGTGTTTCAAAAGCGAAAGGCGAGTTTAAGGTGATGAGTTTCTATGTTGCCTAAGATGAGAGACACCAAAAAAAGGCACTTGTCTGAGTGAACAAAGAAAATGATTTAGGTACTATACAACAGAATATAGTAAAATCAACAAAGAAAAAGAAAAAAAAAACAAAAGAAGACACCTTTGCTGGGCAACTTTTCTTTTGCACTCTCGAAAATAAAAAATAGAGGCAAACACATTTTGTGCCCTTCCAACCCACCATAGGCGAGCGCCTGGCACGCTTAGGCAAGCACCTAAGGTGCCAAAAGATGCTTCCTTCAGTAACATCACCTGGTGACATGCGAGGCGCTAAGGTACAAAATCGCCATGCCTGAGCACTTGAGGCTCTAAGGTGTAACACTTTTACAACACTATAAGAACCTTAATAATGACCAAAGAAAATGTAATCAAGTGAATGTTCTCTCTTGGTCATATTCATCCTAGAATTTTACCTGTTCACCATTATCAACACACCAATACTTTCCCACAGTTACCTCTTCCACCTCCATCTTCCCCACATTTCCCTCCATCATAAATGTTTCCCTCCTAGTTGATAGGATTTGTCCATTAAAGATGGTCAATAATGCATCCACCTATATTTAGATGGTGGGCCGTTGCATCTTTGTACCAGGATAGCATTCTTTTCTTAATATTCTTTCTAATAACTTTTTTTTCCAATCAAATCCGAGACATCCTTCATAGTCCAATTCTGTACAGATCTTTGGAAACCTTACGATGCATTTATCATGAATTAACTGTGAATAAAGTTTCTATTTGTAGATATCCTCCAATCCGTTAATCTCACATGTGTCTCAGTATAAATTTTGAAAAGACAAATTGATCAATCAAATCAAGTAAATTACCTAGAAGACCTCCCAAATATGGCAACCATGTATTCTGTTAGGTGGCAGCAAACTTTAAATTTGCTCCCGTGTAACAGTATTGTGTGTATAGAGTATAGTTGTACTTTTCTATTATGTGTTACCTTTATCTGCATGTGTGTCCACTTTGTGCCCCCACTGCTATGAAAATGCAATAAAAAGAAATGCTACTCTGTATTCTTCACTAGATGCACTAAAAGTTTACCTAACTTGTAAGTGTTTATTATCATGTGATTTTACAGCAGACTGTAAGTAATTAAACAATGTAAGTAATAGTCAACTCATTGAGAAGGTGTGCTGTAAATTATTGAAGATGAAACCATGAGTTCTACCCTTAAATATACCAGATAGTTAAGTTAAACTGTAGTTAATGGGTGAGGAATGTTCCATGTTCTGTATAGATTACTAACCTTGGAGAACATATAATGTTCTCTTCCCAAATCAAGGGGGAAAGAAATAAGAAAAATCCCCTGATCCTCTTTAATACTGCAATAGGTACTGGAAGGAATCATGAACGGAAAAGATAAACTTCTTGAGGTATCACTTGGCCTTGCCACACAGATATTCAGATTGACAACTCGAGAAGAATATGCTGAGAAACTCGAAAGAGCCGGCATTACAGATGAGGACATTGCAAACAGGTTGGTACAAATATTGAGGATATACATCTACCCAGAAATTAAGGTTCCAAGGATAAGGAGGTTCTTGATCGAATTGGCAACATGGATGATGAAGCCAGAGTCAAAGTATATACAGATATTCAAGAATCTGCAGGCTGATGAAGCATTCAGGAACGTTGCAGAAACCACATCAGAGCTCGAAAGCTTCAACTTTTTCTCCGGCAGTGTTGGTGTGGGAAAGGATAACATAACTCTTTCCTCCCTTATAGATACAGCACTAACTCTAATGGAATAAAGCTGAAATTGAGTGGAAATTTTGGTTCAACAGCCCAAATCACATGTACAGAAATAACACCACAAAACACTAGAAATCACAGAACATAGGCTGAGGTATGTAGTTTTTTGTCTAAGCAAAAAAAAAAGTTTTCAAGGAGTTGTTACAGACTGTATATGTTCATTGGTTTGTTAAACCTCTAATAGCATAAAATTTTATTAAACTAGTAGCTAAATGATGCATGTTTCTATATTCTGGAACTCTTCCCAGTTGGTGAAACAAATTACAGGTATTTCTATCTAGCATTGAGGAAGAAAAAAAAATGTTCCCACTTCCTCTATAAACATGTCAAGTGCTCTCCTAGGAGTGAGTTGTTCCCATAGTTTGTAGTTACGATATAAGAATATTTATGTTAGTTATATTTGCAATTCACGCACAAAATTTCAAATGATTAGCCAGGAATCCATGGCGTATATCTATGCTTTCAACAGCAATGAATGTGATAATTCAATCTAAACAAGTGTAGCTTCTGAGTACATTTAGATATATAGATGGTAGAAAATGCAATTTGATCATGATTAATTGAACCAAAGCTTGGCACATCATGCTGTAATGAAAATTTCAGGCTTTTTTATCCAGAAAAAACTTCTAATTGTAAACAACATCTATGAAAATGTTAGTAGATAAAGAAAGAAGAGAAAATTGAACCTATTGTAGTCATTTACCACGCTGCACGCAAGCATGACCGCCATGGTACCTTTTATTCCTCCAATGTGCTGTGTTAAAATATGTGACTGGAGCTGAGAATTTCACCTGATTACTTATGAGACAATTCCTGCTCCCATAGCCCCCCTCCTTGCAAAGAAAATCTTTGTCCTGTTAGAAGAACTCAATAGTTCAAGTATACATCATACAAGTCATGCGTACAAACTTTGTTCTCATCATCAAACTCAAATGTAGTGAATAATGATATTTTTTGTTACTGTAACATTGTAAAAAATATAAGTGTTCATGAACTAAAGCAGAGAAGGAAAAGAATTGGGAAGAGAAAAATGGAAGGAAAAAAAAGAATCTTTATGGAATTCTCACCCAAAACCTATAAGATAACAAGGGGAATCTAAAAAACAAATGTAAAGTTGCTTGTTATTTTACCCAAACTAGTCTCAATCCAATCATGCACAACTTGCGAAATAAACTTAATTTCCTCCTGTAGTTGCTCGTACACCAAGCTCTCTGTTGCACATCCAGCTTGTCAAAAGAGATTTTGGAGATGCACTTGTTAATGCTTCCTCTTGAAGTCATCCCTAATATGTCTTAAGCAATTTCGTTGGTGATGCCGTGATTGAAATCCACTTTCCAATGCACTTGGAATTCCCTTCATCTTATCTGATATAAATGTAATCGTCCTCGCTTGCACATTAGAAATATGCAAACTAATGTATGCAAAAAAACCATGACCAATTTTCTGTGCTTTTAACTTCAACAACTGCAAAAGCTAAAGGAAATAAACCGTCATCTGCATCTACTACAGTTGCAACAAGCAATACGCCATTATATTTACCATATAAATGGGCACCGTCAATGCTAAGAATAGGACAACAACGATTGCATCCCTTGATAGAAGACATTGCAAACCAGTTGGTACAATTACTGAGATAATACATCAACCCAGAAATTAAGGTTCCAAGAATAAGTAGGTTCTTGATCAAATTGGCAATATGAATGATGAAGCCGTAGTCAAAGTATATACCGATCTTCAGGAATCTACAGCTGATGAGGCATTCAAGAGCGTAGCAGAAACCACGTCAGAGATCGAGAGGTTCAATTTTTTTTCTCTGTGTTGGTGTCGGAAAGGATAACATAACTCTTTCCTCCCTTATAGATACAACACTAAATTTAATGGAATAAAGCTGAAATTGAGTGGCAATAATTGGTTTACCAGCCCAAATCCCATTGGTTTACCAGCCCAAATCACATGTACAGAAATAACAACATAAAACACTAGAGATCATAGAATATAGGTTGAGCTACGTAGTTTTCTATGTCTAAACAAAAAAAATGGTTTTCAAGGAGTCGTTACAGATTGTATATGTTCAATTTATTGGTTGGTCAAACCTCTAATAGCATAAAATTTCATTAAACTAGTATCTGAATGATGCATTAGTCATGGACCAACTTATTAGGCACATTTATGATAAAATCCCATAATGTATATTATTTACAGATGATATAGTGATAGTTGATGAAACTAGAAGAGGTATAATTTCTAAACTAGAAAGATAGAGGCAAACTTTTGAATCTAAAGGTTTTCGAATTAGTAGAACAAAAACAGAATATATGGAGTGTATTTTTAGTAAAACTAGGTAAAGAAGAGAGCCTATGATACATATTGATGGTCAAGAAATACCTAAAACTAATCATTTTCGCTATTTAGGATCAATCATTAGGCATAATTGTGAGATAATGGATGATGTTGTACATCGAATCAAATCGAGATGGTTGGAATAGAGGAGTGCTCCGGGAGTCTTATGTGATCGTAGAATACCAATGAAACCAAAAGGAAAATTCTATACGATAGTTATAAGACCAACTATGCTTTATGGGTCAGAGTGTTAGGCAATTAAAAAACAACATGTTCAAAAAATGAGTATAGCAAAAATGAGAATATTGCAACGATCTTGTGGGTATACACTAAAAAATAAGATAAGAAATGAGTGCATCCATAGTAAATTAGAGGTTGCTCCTATTGAGGATAAAATGAGAGAGAATATATTAAGATGGTTTGGTCATGTACAACGGAGAACACTTAGTACAGCGGCTAGGAAAAGTGATAATATTATAGTTAATGAGGCTAGGATATCTAGAGGTAGACCTAAAATAACTTTGGTTAGAAGCAATTGAAAAAAATATGATTATGACTAACTTAACGGAAGAGATGACCCATAACAGAATAGAATGGAAGAATAGGATTCATGTAGTCGTCCTTAAACATTTGGGATAAAGGTTTGGTTGTTGTTGTCATTTGTTGTTGTAGTATCTAAATGATGCATATTTTCATATCCTGGAAGAAAAAATAGTATATAACCAATCAAGTTTGAATAACAAACTTTTTTGAATAATTATCGAACACCAAAGTATATAACCAATCAAGTTTGAATAACATTTGGTATTCTGAGTCAAATCCGTATAAGACTAATTCTTTATCTATGTAGGTTAAAGACTAATTCTTTATACAAACTATCAACATAAGAGTAAGCATAACAATAATCTTCATCATTTTCATCGATTATTAAACAACACTAAACCTCATTATATTTGCTTGATTATTCATCTTCATTAACCAATACTTCAAACAATACAACATCATTTTACACCAAAATTTTAAAATTTTTTCACTTTGTTACCATAGTCTAAAATCAAAATAAAGAAATATAAATTAAGACCACAAACTCACTTGCGGGTGAACGGTTCAATCGACCGGCAGACTAAAACGGATTCGGGCCCGATATTGCTCCTCTGCAGCAGGATTAACAGAGAGGAGATGAGGAGTAGCAGCCTGGAATTAGGGTTTCTGATTACGGATGAAACAGCCATTGGAGACTGAGAATCAAGGAGCGGAGAAGGGAAGAACAATGCCAAAATTTTGGCTTATTTGCAGATATACCCCCTTAAATTATTAGGATTTGCAAAATTGCGCCAAAGGACAGTATTTGCAAAACTGCCCTCGTAAACATCCCAGAGAAATGCCCTTCCACTTAACCCTGTCATAAAATATTCTCAGAATATTCGTTTATTCAAATTAATCTAATATAACTAATTAATTAATAACTAAAACACCCCTAAATTTTAGTCATGACTGCTGACCGCCGCCACTGCTGCTAATATCTATTCTCGAATTACTTTATTGTCAAAAGCGCGAAAAAGATTTCGAGATGCCGAAGGACATAAAGAGACGAGTAAGATGGAGGAGGAGATGATGAAGACATGTCCCCTTACGTATAGAACATGAATTAGGTGAATTCTTTTTTATGGTATTTTTATTTATTTTTGGGTAACTTAATTTGGATGAATAACCCCCTTAACTTTCACATTATCAGAATACCGTCCTAACTGCGGGGACTATCACAACCTTCCCTTTTAAACTTTCCGATTTTGTCAGAAAACATCATTTAACTTCAAATTTTTATTAGAAAACACCCCTAAATTAGGAGGGGTTTCTGTTAAAATCTCAAGCTGTGGGGATTTTTTGACAACCCATAAACTTAAGGGGGGTTTTCTAATATTTTGAAAGTTAAGGGTGGCTTTCTGATTAATCACCCAATGTAAAGGGGGTTTTGTGATATTTAACCTTTATTTTTTTTATGGAATCTCCTCAACTAAAATGAAAAAAAAAATTATGTGATATCATATATTTACTTTCTTTTTTTGTTTGGTAAATGAAAAAACTTTATTCATCACCAAATTGATAAATGTATTTACAGCAAAGCTCTCATCTTAAAAGAGAGATTCCAATAGAACTCAAAAAACTAAGCTCAATAGGAATTACTGAGCTCAAGACCTACAAACAAATTCTCTGTGAACTGTGAGAATGCCTCTGAAATGAGCACAGGGAGAAAAACGACAGGAGGTGTTTGCACAAAATACTGACATTGTGCTTATACTCCAGGCTTCTACTTACTCCAGGGAGAAATGATTCAACAGATGGATTAGCACGAAATAAGCATAGTAAAGAGCTCTGTAATCAAATATACAACTATGCACATAGAAGTGCACAACTGGCTTTACTCCAGGAAAACTGCAGATCTACTCTTCAACCCAATAAGAGGCTAAGGGGCTATTGAGCACTGTTATCAATACTTCAAACTTGATCTCCTTAACCATTAGATCCACATCTTTATATTTGCCTTGGAAGAACCTGATGTTGCGCTCTCTCCATAGACAGTAAATTGTATTTGTTAATGCCATTCTCTTTAATTTTTGTTTGAAGCCCCTTCCTCTCAACCTGTTAGAATACCAGCCAACAATGTGATCCCATTGGCAAGATCTCCAGTAGAAATTCAACCATTCCATAACTCTATTCCAGACTTCGTTAGAATATGAGCATTCAAAGAACAAGTGATCCCTTGATTCCTGTCCTACTCCAGAACAGAGATAGCAATTATTTGAACTTATTATACCCCTCCTTAATAATCTGTCCTGAGTAAGAAGTCTGTTATGGATTGCCAACCAACATACAAATGAGTGTTTAGGGACATTTGATACATCCCAGATAGTATTATACCAAGGCACAGCTTGCTGAACAGAAGAGAGAGCATGGTATATAGTTGACAGCTTGAGTTTAGCATTGTTGCACATAGACAGCTTCAAATTGTCAACTCCACCAAATCGATCAATCAGTAAATCCCTGACCTTTAGTAACTGTTTCCAGTTCCAAGAGTCCCCATTTCTTGCTTTTACTTGCCAAATTTCCTTATCTCTTAAGTAGAAGCAATTAATCCATTTAATCCATAAAGTTTCTTTATTATTGTGAATGTACCATAGGTATCGTAAGCCTGTGGCCAAATTCCAGTTTAAGGCTGAGAAGACCCCTAAACCACCATTTTTCCCAAGCTACCAAAGGAGCTTTGTTTGAACCCCACAAGAACTTCCTACATAAATCATCTATTCTTTGAAGAACATTTTTAGGAAGGATATAGTTCGAAGTCCAATAAATTTGAACACCAAGAATTACAGTTTTAATAACCTGGAGTCTTCCTGCATAGGTGAGGTTTCTGTGATTGCTCCATTTTTTGAATTGACCTTCAATCTTTTGGAAGAGAGGGATGCAATCAAATGAGGACATTCTCTTGGAGATAAGAAAATATTCCTCCAATTCCATTGTTACCTTCTCAAAAATTAAATGTAGTTCTCCGATACCAATTTACGTAGATGCAAACTCTTAGCTTTTACCACAACTAAGATTTGTACATATAGAAGAAACAGGTAACAAATACAAATTCCTCTATAATGCAATCATTCATAATGTATCTAACCCCTTCAAGCCACAACTCCACACAATATATAATATTGATTAGTGCAGAAATAAACATCTCACTAGCACAATTTACTGACACATGCATATACGGTAAAAATGATGAAGCTAGTATATAATTGCAATGCAAAAAATTATCAACAAAATAGTCAATTTTTGTCAATACTTGCAAGAGAGAAGATTAGATGAAAGAATGATACTGCCTTTTCTTCCTCTTTCTTCCTGTCCTCTTGATCCTCCAACTTGTCAAAAGGTAACAGCTTATCCGAACCTAAGATAAGAGAACACGTTAGTGCTACAACCTAAACTATGAACAGGGTTAACTGCAGATGGACCTCCTGTGCTATCACCCAATTATGAATAGACCCCCTTCTATTGTTGTAGATAGGCCCCCTGTACTATCGCCTAACTGTAGATAGACCCACTAGTATTTCAAAAAAAAAATATATGTAATCAAACTGTTCATAAGCAACACAATAATATTGCATACAGATGTTAATAAAAAACAAAAAAATATTCAAGCAATAAAGTAGTTCCTGAGCACCCGTAGAGGATTACCGCAAAATAAGCGCCATAGTTGTGTTTGCAAATCCTACCATCAACTATCTCAAAGATTTTAACTTATTAACTCCGTGTCATGTGCTTGTAATTGACCATATGCATATAAAACATGTAGATTTTTCATCAGCAGAAAGATGTCAACCTTGTAGTTAGTCAAACGAAGTCAATTTGAGCTGGTGAAACAGAAAAAATAAGGGATCTATTAGGTCGTTAAACAACCTGACGAGCCGAGAACAAAAAGCGTGTAGATTCCAAACTGTTGAAGAGCTTAATAATTCAAATCTCAATAAAAGGAAGGAACAGGAGATGAGGGCGAAAGAAAAAAAGAAAAATGAATACAGAATCCCTCCTCTTGCTTTGTTTCTTCAGAGTGGATGAGTCGTTTCAAATCAGTAGACCAAGTGCAATGGCTAACAATTGGGACAATTATTTGGTGCAATGGCTAAGCAAGTGGATAGGCAAATGAAAAGTAGGGGAGAGAAAAGGCAAAATTTGCCTACCGGTTAAATTTTACCAAGGGCCCCGCGTGTCAGCAAGTGGAGGAAAGATAAAGTAAAAAACTTTTGAAAAACTAGTTGTTGTGGAGTTGAAAGGCAATTGGAAAAGGCAAGTGATGTGGAGGGAGAATAAAGTAAGGTGGAAGGAGAGAGAAAGGCAATATTTGCCTTGCCATTGGAGATGGTCGAAGAGTGGGTACGTGTAATTTATTTGTTGAATAAAAGAATGAAAAGGTGCTGTGCTAACCAGTGTCTCATTGATGAATGAATTTTTTTTTTTTTTTTGGATTCAAATTCACCTCTTCATTGCATTTGTCACTGTTCTTTTATTAACAGCTTCTAATATGAATCCTGGTCTGAGAATTTGGAACCTCTTCAGCTTGATAATGAATGTACACTTGAAACCTCGTCGAAGAAATTACAAGGTCATGCAATATCTACCTGATGATCGTCCAACGATATACGTAAATATATGTTTCTTTTTCATATATATAAAAATTTTGGCTTTATGATCCCAAAATTAGGGGTGCATGTTTTTTAGTGAATGTTAAGAAAAAATAGGCGTCGAGCATGTGTATGGGTGTATCTACGATAGATCATTAATATAGTTGAACTTATGAATCTTCTTTTCATTTATACAATCTTTTCAATTCAGAATTAGGATATATTGGGAAGCATGTTAATTTGGCTCTACAAGATCTTTTTTTGATAAGTAATGATAGCAATCATCTGTTAGAGTGAGGAAAATATCTAAACTATAAATATTAATTAAATTACTAGGCAAATAATTTTAGAATCATAACCTTTTATAAAAAAATTTAAGGGGTAACTAGCAGTAAACCATAATGATGCATCCAAAAAAAAATAAAAAATAAAATAGAATATTTATCCAATTTAAGAAGACTCCTCCTAAGTCTCCTTTGAATCCTTTGAAAAGGAGACATCACTGTTTTATATTTTCCACGACTTAACTGAACCCTTTCCAATTATATTTTCCACGACTTAACTGATTTATGATCAGATTTTTCATCAACACTCATAGCTGCCAACATACCAAGATTTTCCGCAGTTAACAGGCTTTGGTATCAATATATCCTAATGAAAACTGTTCACGGAAACTGTTAACAATCAGCGGAACATTACGGAACAAAAATGTCCAGCTCACAAGCTCCAGAATGGAGACAGAGCACTCAATGCATCTTTGCAATTATCTCTGTATAATTTCCCAAATGCTCACCATGAACCCCTGTAAGTGATTTTGTAGAAAAGTCAATTTAATATCACTATCCTGGGCAGAAGTCAGTCAGGTCAAGTTAATACACACGAGAACCATCTCTGATCGAGGCAGGCACTTGGGTCCATGCCAGGACCCAACAATAGACATTAAAATTAGCAGCTTACTTATTCATCATTGGGACTCCTCGGATCCAGTCTTCACCTCAAATTCTTACGAACTCATACCAAAGACCTAAGGCCAATTAAATCCAAGTTTACTATATACATAATTATTATGCCTTCGGATACTGTAGAGATACAAATCAACTTTATTACAGTTCGATTGAAAATTTCAGAGGCAAAAGGATGAAGCAAGGAACTGATCTGTAGACCGCTTCAAAACAATCTAGGGGAGAAATCCTTGGCCTAGAATAGGAACCAAAAAAAAAAAGAAGAAGATTTTAATAACTATAGAAAACCATCCAAATTCCATAGGGTCAGGTATTGAACAAAAAAAGATAAATCACTAGTAGGAAAGATACGTAGAGGCAATGGAGCATTATTCGTCGAGCGACACAAAATAAATATTTTCAAAGTGCAAGAGAGCAGAAACAAAGAAACGTACCTGCACATACATTACTTTAAATACCAGTAGAAAAGGTTGCGAAGAAAAGAAAGCATATTCCAGGTCAGTGACCACAAAAAATTGCTATTTGCCACATAGAGAACAAGACTCCGACTGGAGAACCAAGGAAAAGCCATGGATATCAATCTTCCCCATATTGCTTGTGTCACAAGAGTAAAACTTACGATGTTTTCGACAGGAAATCATAGATATCTTTCCTGCAGAAACTAGAGTCAAACACAGTAATATTAGAAGAAAAGGGTCATGGATTTCTTGATCAACTCAAAGCAGCAAGTACTCAAAGGAAGCAATAGGAAAAGATCAAGCTAGAGATCATCCAACAAAATCAAAAACCAAACTTGGTCTTCAGTATTTTTTAATTACTGAACTCCGTAGAAACAAAGTTAAACCAAAGACCCAACAAATTTCACAAAATTACGTCATCAAAATGTTCATAAACCGCACTCAAATTTACAGCATACTAACTGCATATCAGTATTAGGCTGAAAAAACATGTATTGAAAGCAATTCAGTAGTTCCTGAACACCCCGACCAGATTACCAACAAATCAGCCATAATTGCATCTGCAAATATTTCTTTCTACTATCTCGACGATTTTAACTTAGAACTCCATTGCCATGTACTTGTCGGCTTGCATTTGACATTGCATAAATTATTATGCTCATTACCTGCACTGAGTCATACACAGAAAATTTTCATGCCTTTAACATAACATTTAGCTTAAACATACAGTTTTCTGTCAGCAGAAACTGTCTTCCCATGGTCAGCTATAAAAAAACTCTCCGCAATTACAATCAACAGTATTCTAGTGGGTTGTTAAATGGAAGAATTCAATATTTTCTATAACCTTTCCTTCTAATAAGGGTCAACCTTGTAGTTAGTCAACAAAGGTCAATTTAAGCTGGTGAAACAGAAAATGAAGAGATCTGTTAGATTGTTAACCAACCTAACAGGCCAGGAACATAATGGATGGAGATGAGAGGAGAGGAGAGGAGAGGAGAGGAGACACGAAAAAAGGTCCCATCTCTATGATAAATGAATGAATAGAAATTAATAAAATAATGAGATGGGAGAGGTGAGAGTCTAAGGTTCTATCTATATGATGAAGTACAAGCATTTTCATAAAAGGAAACAAGACCATGACAGCAGGTAATCCATACAAGCCACTGGCTTCACTTTCCCGGATTTACGCTACGTTTCCAGCTTGTAAACTTGCTAAAATTTCCCAGCAATTATACCTCCAGATCAAACTATAATCCTTTCAGAGAGCGACCTTGACAGCTTCAAACAGAAGAAAGAATAGCTCAATGGTCCAAAATTGCCACCAATCAAAGTCACTTCTTCAAGTTACACATGCTGATACATTCAAGAAACCAAACAGATCCAATGATATCAAACATCCATAAATTTTCATACAGCATATGATGCAGTATGAATTCCAAGAATGAGAAACCAAACCATGGAAACAACCCAAGCATCCAACTAGAAATTATCCGCAATTCAGATGGAAGCAGCAGCAACCCTCCCAAAGATCGTTGGGGCTCCACCTTGTTCGAACCCCAAAGACAACAGAGCTATCAGACCCCCAGTAGTAGCAATGAGAGAAGCCAGAGCAGCAGCAAGAATGCCAATATCCCTGCACCCGAAAAGAAGTTGACCCTCTTCGCTCTCCACCTTGCAATCCTGGAAAAATCTGCCAGTGGCCTCGGAACTCTTGGCTTTATTTGGGCCACAGTTGTCCTTCTTGGTGGATACGCTTCAACACTTGAGAGCAAGGATTTCTGGATTGTAACTGTGATCCTTCTTATAGAAGCCACAAGGATCTTCAGCCGTAGCCATGAGATCGAGTGGCAGCACCAGTCAACCTCATGGTCCCTTGCCAGCGCGGGACGGTACAGTTTTCGAGCATTCATATCAAGTTCTCAGTTCTTTGCCCATGCCATCAAGGCCTTTTTCCAATCATGTTCTGTATTCCAATCAGATAACCACCGTAGCCGTGAAGTCACCCATGATCTCTGGATGGAAACTCCAGAATCCCAGAACCGAAACCTTCAAAACAAAAATGAAAGGACATGGAACTATTCTGACGTTCCCTTTCTACCCTATGTTGGCTGGGTCTTTCTTTCTAGAAATGTTAGCAATATCTTTTATTGGCTCCAACTCATTTCAGCTGCAGCATCTGCTGCTCTCTCCTTCTAGAAATGTTAGCAATATCTTTTATTGGCTCCAACTCATTTCAGCTGCAGCATCTGCTGCTCTCTCCTTGATGAGGCTCAGTCAGCAAGACTACAGGGCTCCAACTCATTTCAGCTGCAGCATCTGCTGCTCTCTCCTTGATGAGGCTCAGTCAGCAAGACTACATCAAAGATAGTGGATATACTGATACGAAGAACCTGAAGCCTGCTCTCAACATATTCTATGGGATGGCTCTGGCTGAAGCGCTGATGTTCTTAGTGGAGAAGGCTTACTGGAACTGGGAGATCAGTTACAAGATGCTGCTGGATAAAGTTTGCCAGGAGTGTGCACTTGGACCATCTGGAATGACATCCATCACGCGGTTCTTCTATGATTCATACTCAAGGTGTATTGAAGGCAGCATCTTTGATGGTCTTAGGATGGATCTGGTATCCTTTGCCGAGGAACTCCTAGATTCAGAGTACCGAGATGAGCAGCTTATTGGAGCTCGTATCCTTCATAAGTTTGTGACCAACGATCAATTTTCCAGTTACACCCTGCGAAAGATTGGAACATCAACAGAGGTCATTGAGAGGCTAATTGAGATTCTGAACTGGAAAAACCCACTGGAAGAGGAGATCAGAAGGTCCGCCACAGAGATCGTCTCAAAACTTGCAGGAAGAAAGCAGAATGCAATCCGAGTTGCTGAGATCCCAGGCGCAATTGAGTCAATATCATCCCTTCTGTATACAGGTCTACACTATGATTCAAGGCCACACGAGATTGGTCACAGGTTTGTTGTCGCGGACCAAACTGACTACGAGTTTTCGGTGTTCAACCTCTTGGGCTTGATGATACTTAAGAAGCTCGCTCGTGACCATGACAACTGCTGGAAGATTGGGAATGCTAGAGGACTCATGCCAAAGATCATAGACTTCACGAGCACGACCGAAAACCTGCTGAGGAATGACCTAGCACCAGAATCTCAGATAAAGATAGTGAAACGGTCACTAAAATTAATTAAGATCCTGGCGAGCACAACCGGCCAAACAGGGAAAATGTTAAGGAAGGAAATATCCGATATCGTATTCACTGTGAGCAATATTAGAGAGATCTTGCAATATGGAGAGAGCCATATGGTGCTACAAATGCTGGGAATCGAAATACTGAGCAACTTGGCGATGGATGAGGACGCCAGGGAGAGCATCGGGAGCACAGGTGGAGTGATTAGACTGCTACTTTCAATTTTCTTCATGCCACGTTTGACAGAGAAACAAAACTCTGTGTGCACAGAAGCCGGAGAGGCATTGACTATGCTGGCTTTTGAAAGCAGGAGAAACTGCAATCAGATAGTAATGGGGCCACAGGTCATGGAAAGGTTGGTTGATTCACTGAATGATCCGGTGCTCCAAGTCAATTCGGCCAGAATCCTCAGGAATTTGTGTGCTTATTCCGGGCCTGAATGTGTGAGTCACTTCACAGGAGTCGCAGCTGCTGTTCCTACTGTAAGTCTTTTTTTTAAGCTCAACTCTGTTTCTCCTATAGATATATTTGGTTCCTGCTTTCTTGCACTGATTAGACCAAGTAACAATGCTCGTATTGAGGAAGTCAGAAGATATAACAATAACCATGTACCCAGTGATACTTGAACATAATCTAATTTCAGGACAAACAAGCTAGATTAAAACAATACTGAAAAGGGTGCGTTGCTTCATCACATTTCAGTTAATGGAAAGACGGGATTCCGGATCAAAAAAGAACGAGTACAGTAAGTCCATCTGGATCTCAGTCTCTAGAGTGAACCAAAAGATGGATAGGTAAACAATACAGTAACAGGACTCCATTGATCTAGTTGTTTCTGAGCTATAAAAATAATAAAAATAATAATAATAAGGTATTAGGAACAGCCAGGAGATCATTTATGCATTAGTCAAACATACATCATCTACCTCCCATGAGGATGTTGACCTGCAACTTATACGTACATATGATTATTCATTTCATTCAGGCTGCATTTCATCATGGTATACATTACCAAACTGTAAGGTTGATACAGGAATCAAATGTGAAGTAGAATAATAATAATAAAATCATTAAAAGCTTATCTGGTTACACTCTGGAATGACAGGGGAGATGTCCGTGCTACAAGAAATGTGAAATTCCCAAAACAACAGAAGTCACAGAAGTCTTTCACAATGCTTCAAGTTCAATCAGTAAATGCCCACTTGGTATTTCAGAAGGATTTGTTTCAGCAGAGTCAATATCCAACACCTCATCATTACTTTCTTTCTTGTGATTTAGTAAAAAGATGATTCAAACATAGCACATTAGAGATGTCATTGACCTCTTGAGGTTGTATCTATGTCATCTGTGCCTATGCATTCAGAACACAATTAACACTTCTCACATAAGGTTCTAGTTCATATGCAAGTATTATACATAGATATCAGTGTTTTAAAAGCGAAAGGCGAGTTAAAGGAGATGAGTTCCTATGTTGCCTGAGATGAGAGACACCAAGAAACGCAATTGTCTGAGTGAACAAAGTCAATATTTCAACAATCTATAAAAGCTACAAACAATGTGCAATTAAACACAATATCAATGAATCATAATAAGACAAAATAACTACAATCGAAGTTTCGAAGTTACAAGACATAAATCATCTAACTAAATTAGTAAGTAACAATTAATAAATAGTAATACTTATTAATAACTACTAATGTAGACACCTAGGCAACAAAGTTTGAACTATCAAGTTTCATCTTGTTACATGGCCTCAAAATGATTTAGGTACTATACAACAGAATATAGTAAAATCAACAAAGGAAAAAAAAAACCAAAGAAGACACCTTTGCCTGACAACTTTTCTTTTGCACTCTAGAAAATTAAAAATAGAGGCAAACACATTTTGTGCCCAACCAACCTACCCTAGGCGATTGCCTGGCATGCTTGGGCAAGCACCTAAGGTGCCAAAAGATGCTTCCTTCAGTAACCTTCATCACCTGCTGACATGCAAGGTGCTAAGGTACAAAATCGCCTCACCTGAGCACTTGAGGCTCTAAGGCGTAACACTTTTACAACACTACAAGAACCTTAATCATGACCAAAGAAGATGTAATCAAGTGAATGTTTTCTCTTCGTCATATTCATCCTAGAATTTCACCTGTTCACCACTATAACACGCCAATACTTTCCCACAGCTATCTCCTCCACCTCAATCTTCCCCACATTTCCCTCCATCATTAATGTTTCGCTCCTAGTTGATAGGATTTTTCCATTAAGGATTGTCAATAATGTAATCACCAAATTTAGATGATAGGCTGTTGCATCTTTGTCCAGGGATAGCATTCTTTTCCTAATATCCTTTCTAATAGCATTTTTTTCCATCAAATCCAAGACATCCTTCATAGTCCAATTCTCTTTCACAGTCCAATTCTGTCCAGAACTTGCATTAGGATGCATTTCTCATGATTTAACTGAAAATAAAGTTTCTATTTTAAATATCCTCCAATCTGTTAATCTCACTTATTTCTCAGTTTGAACTTTTAAAAACAAATTGATTAATCAAATCAAGTAAATTACCTAGAACACCTCCCAAATATGGTAATCCCACTGGTTACACAACCATGTTTCGTGGCAGGCGGCAGCAAACTTTAAATTTGCTCCCATGTAACAGTATATTGTGTGTATTATTGTACTTATCAATCATGTCTTACCTTTATATGTATGTGTGTCCACTTTGTTCCTCCACCATTATCAAAATGCAAAATAAAAGAAATGATAGTGTATTCTTAACTAGATCATACACTAAAATGCTACTGTCATTTGTAAGTGTCTATTGTCATGTGATTTTTCAACAGAATATATGTAGTTAAATAACATAAGTAAGTTAAATAACATAAGTACCTGTCATATCATTGAGAAGGCATGCTATAAATTATTGACGACGACACTATGAGTTCTACCTTTAAATGTACCAGATAGGTAAGCTAAACTATAATTAATGGTTGAAGACTGTTCCATGTTCTATATAGATAACCTTGGAGATAAGAATTAAAAATCCCCTGATCCTCTTTTTTACTGCAATAGGTACTGCAAGGAATCATGAATGGAAAAGATAAACTTCTTGAGGTGTCACTGGGACTTGCGACACAAATGTTCATAGTGACAACTCGAACAGAATATGCTGAACAACTTGAAAGAGCAGGCATTACAGATGAGGACATTGCAAACCGGTTGGTACAAATACTGAGAATATACATCTACCCAGAAATTAAGGTTCCAAGAATAAGGAGGTTCTTGATCGAATTGGTAATATGGATGTTGAAGCTGCAGTCAAAGTATATACAGATATTCAAGAATCTACAGGCTGATGAGGCATTCAAGAGCATTGCGGAAACCACGTCAGAGCTTGAGAGCTTCAATTTTTTCTCTGGCAGTGTTGGCATGGGAAAGGACAACATAACTCTCTCCTCCCTTATAGATACAGCAGTAAATTTAATGGAATAAAGCTGAAATTGAGTGGCAATAATTGGTTTAACAGCACTAATCACATGTATGGAAATAACACCATAAAACACTGGAAAATTATAGAATATAGGCTGGGCTATGTAGTTTTCTATGTCTAAACAGAAAATAGTTTTCAAGTTGTTGTTACAGATTGTATATTTTCAGTTTATTGATTGGTTAAACCTCTAATAGCATAAAATTTTATAAATTAGTAGCTAAATGATGCATATTTCCTTATTCTGGAAACTCTTCCCAGTTGGTGAACAAATTACAGGTATTCCTAGCTGAATTGGTATCAAAGCCATGTTAGGCTAATTTTGTTCTTACGATTTATTTGTGTTTTGATTTATTTATACGAATGTAAATTATCTATATGTTCTTCCTTTTCTTTAGCTATGAACTTAGTTTTCTGGTCTATGGAACGTCACCAAAGTCACGTAGTGTAAAACCCAGTTGTTGCCAACTTAGTTAAAAGTCTACACATCTGTCAACGATCTACACTACCCTTTTAACACCATCTGGGCAACAACTGGGTTTTACACTATGCGACTTTGGTGACGTTCCATAGACCAGAAAACTAAGTTCATAGCTAAAGAAAAGGAAGAACATATAGACAATTTACATTCTTATAAATAAATCAAAACACAAATAAATCGTAAGAACAAAATTAGCCTAACATGGCTTTGATACCAATTCTAAACATGCATAAAATTGTAAAAAATTAAACAAAGGAAAGAACTTACAAAGTTCGGCTGCCCACTCTTAAGATAATTTATTCCTCCACAATCTTTATTTATAAAATATCTTACAAGAGAACTTCGCACACGGCAAATCCACACTGACTTTGAAATAAAAACTTAGACTGAAAAATAGCACACCTTACAACATATGTCTTCTCTCCTTATATTAGACTGGAAGAGAATAAAGCACAGACATAAAGTAAAAGACATCTGGCAGGACATCTTCTTTTCAAAAGTAGCTTTATAAAAGCTTGTCTTTGGAAAAAGCTTCTTTAAGAAAATAGAAATATAATGAGTGGCTCCCTGGGGTTCAACTCATAAAAGGAATTTAAATTCTTCTTTACCTTTAACTTTCTTTTCCTTTACCTTTAAGGTCAGTTGTCAGAATCTGATTCAGAATTCCCATGGCAGCTTTCCAAATATCTTCTTCTTCTTCTCCTTGTGCATCAGGCAAAGTAGTATCTTCACCGCAGGAGTCAAGACTTTTGCTAGATTGAGTCTCCATGTTATCAAAAGCTTTAAAAAACTGTCTTTTCATATGATCAAAACATTTCTGCTGAATTTCTGCTTCAGAGGCTTGCGGATATTTCCTTCTAATCATTTTGGCTAACTGAACCATTGGATTAACCTTCTGAATTTCTTGAGAAATAGTTTTTTCGAGAACAGTATTATTTCTCATTATAATTTCTTCAATAAGTTTAACTTGTTCTTCAATAATAATTCCACTCCACCATCTGCAGTAGTAATTCCTTTTAAGGATAGGCAAATATGAGTCATCCCAGTCTGACTCAAAAGTCCATGTCCAAATCCATGGAATCTCTATTTCAGAGAAGAAGTTGACAGCACACAATCCTTCGACAATATGATCATCGTCCATTTTAGAAATAATGGGATGAGATTCTACCCAATCAGAATATAATTTAGATACGGGTTCTGGAAGAATGTTTAATTCTGCACCATAAATTTTCCACCAATCATAAAACCATGATGGAATGCCCTTTTTAAGAGCTTATGGACAAAATTTAATCATCCAGGTATGCTTGTTTTTGGGATTTTGATATAAAAAGATATTATAAAATACCTAGTTATAATCCCAAAAATTGAAGAAGTATATCTCTTTAGAATTATGGGCTTTAACCAAAGGCAATTCTTGGTTTAGGTTTATAGCCCATTTTCGAGGTAGAATAACCTCTTTAATAATACACTTACTGAAATTTGGGGGAATATTTTTATTCTCAGATCCCCAGAAATGGATAATTTCCATTTCTTTTTGTATTATTAATGTTTGCATCCAAGATCTGGATTTTAATGACAATGTTGGATAATAATTGTTATTTAAATATCTCGCTCTGATATTTTTAGTATCATCCATGAGAGGAATATCCTCTTGTTCTAAGTATAGAACAGTTTCTGACATCCTTTTAGGTGTCCATTCTGTTTCTCGTTTTACTATGAGATTAAAAGGCTCAGGATTATTATCCTGACTTACTTTATTGATAAGACCTTTATAAAAGGCTTGAGACGGGCTTTGAGCTGGGCTTGAATAATTCTTTTTTGCAACAATTCTTCATGAACTAGATTCGGGAAGAAGAGAATCTTCAAAAGGTTCAATAGGACTATAAGCCTTCTGAATGTTCTGGGAATTATTTCTCCTGCCTCTTCCACTCCCTAAAGAGGGATTATACCACTTCATGGGCACCCTGTAAAAATTCACGGGTAAGAAAATCAGGTAAGAAGTTATTACTTCCTTTAATAAATTCAATTTTAAACTCGTACATAGCGAGTTCAGCTTGCCATCTAGTAAAAAAATTTTAGAAACAAGATTTTTAACATCTTTTTCTATAACGCTTTTAGCAGAACTACAATCAATTCATAGTAAAAATTCTTGATTGAGAATATCATCTCTGAATTTAGAGAGACATTTAATAATAGAAAGCATTTCTTTCTTAACAGTTGAATAATTAAATTGGGCTTTATCCCATTTACCAGAAGTAAATCTAACAAGCTGCTCTTTATTAGTAAGTTGAATAATTAAATTGGGCTTTATCCCATTTACCAGAAGTAAATCTAACAAGCTGCTCTTTATTAGTAGCAGGATCAATTTGTTTAATACATTTACCAGAAGTAAATCTAACAAGCTGCTCTTTATTAGTAGCAGGATCAATTTGTTTAATAATTCCTTCATAACCTATATTAGAGGCATCAGTTTCAACTATTTTACACCAATCAATATTTGTTAAATGAGTATAAGGTAAACATTTAACATTATTTTTAATTCTTTTAACAGCTTCAGTAAGCTGATCTGTCCAAGATTTTGCATTCTTTTTTAATCTACTATATAAAATAGTAGTGTCTTGGGTCAGATTTTTATAATAATCAGCAATATAGTTTAAAAAGCCTAAGAATCTTTGTAATTGTTTTGTATCAATTATGATATCAGGAAATTTAGAGGCAAATTCGATGTTTCTATCAATTGGAACTATAGTTCCTTTATGTATATTATGTCCTAAAAATCTAACTTGAGTCTGAAAAAGTTTCATCTTAGGAGCAGATACTGCTAAACCGTTTCTTATGGCTAAATTTCTAAAAACTTCTAAATGTTTAAAATGTTGGTCAAAGTTTTGAGAAAATATTAATATATCATCTATATATGATAAGATGAAATTTGTATAAGGAATAAAGATCACATTCATAATATTCTGAAATTCAGATGGGGCATTTTTTAAACCAAAAGGCATGACATTCCATTCATATTGTCCAAATGGAACAACAAAGGCAATTTTATATCTATCTTTTTCATTAATTTGTATTTGCTAATATCCTGACTTTAAATCGAATTTAGAAAATATTTTTGTATTATTAATGTGATTTAATAAATCCCTTTTATTAGGAATATGATACCTTATACATTTAAGAATGGCATTAAGGGGTTTATAATTTATGACAAGACGAGGTACTCCTCTTTCTTGTTCTGCAGCATTATTAACATAAAATGATGTACAGTTTCAAGGAGAATATGATTTTCTTATTAATTTTTTTCTATAAGAGAATTTATCTCATTTTTACATAATTTAAGATACTCATTATTCATCTGGCAATGCCTAGATTTAGTGATACGAGTCGCCGTGCGAGAACCGTTTGGTCACGGAATTACCAAAAGGTGGGTTGAGAAGAAGACAACTAAAACACAAGAACAATTCAGTATGACGAAGGAAAATACCTTCTCTAGATTATAAAGAACAAAAGATTACAATCTCTCCCTCACAATCTCACTAGAATCGAGAACAACCTCTCAATCCTCTCTAAACCCTAATACAATGATTAGAATCTCTCTCTGATCTAAGATCTCATAGATCCTCACAATCTAAACCCTAATCCTTTTGATTAGGATCTCACTTAGACCTAAAACCCTTTAGATCTACAACTTGGCCTCTCCTTCTTGTTTAGAACCCTAAACAATCCCTATTTATAGGGTTTACAACATGATGACAATCTGATAAATAACCAAACCAAACCCAAACAGGAAAATACGTAAACATAATCCTTAACGAATCTGGAAACCCCTGATGAGTCGACTCATGACCTCACATGAGTCGACTCGTAACTCATGGGTCGACTCATCAAATGATGAGTCGACTGGCCAGAGCCGAACTCACATGAGTCGACTCGTAACTCATGGGTCGACTCATCAAATGATGAGTCGACTGGCCAGAGCCGAATTGCCAACAGGGCTTAATTTCTTGAGTCGACTCAAACATACACATGAGTCGACTCATGAGGCTGAAAACTGAGGCTTCGAGTCTTTGATTCTTCGCCTCGCTCTACGCTTCATCATGTGCTCCGTCGTGTCGCTTCACACCACTATTCTCAAGATATTATGAGAATCACCTATCCTCAAGCTCCCATGAGGATCGCTTTTCCGAAGAGAAGATACACCCGTATCATTTAGTATGAATATCCTTTTTATTAAAACCGTCTATATATGGTAAGGAAACAATATGTTTCTTTCTTTCCCAAAAAGCATTGGGTATATTACTACATATTGTAATTTTAAATTTATTTTCTATTTGAGTTATTTTTTTTATTTTAATTTGTTCTTTAATTTGAACAAATAAAACTTCTTCTTTAAGAAAATTAATTTGATTTTCTTTAAGAATTACTTTGCTTACTTCGTTTAATAAACGAGTTTGAGGATCAAATATAAATTCAAAAATAATTTTATTATTTTTATAAGTAGCTTTAATACCTTGAATATCAACTTGGTTAATAGGAATTATTTGATGTAAAAAAGGAATCCCTAGTATAACATCTTGGGATAAATTTTTTAATAAAACACAAGGAATAGGAATACAAATTCTCTGGACACATATTTATGCATTTGATAATTTATACTTAACATCTAGTTTATTCCCATTAGCACTGCTAAATGTCTGGGTAGTAATTTCAAAAAAATTTGAAGGTACAATTCCTTCATTAATACAATTTAAGTCTGCACCAC